CCGTGTCCCACCTCCCTCTGCTACCGCCTCGTAACTTGTCGGTCTCCCTGCTTCCCAGCTGGCCCTCCCAAATTCATCTTACACGTTATTAGTAAAGTACTCTTTTTAAGACAAGCCTCAGTCGAGCGTGGTGATGTGCACCTGTAGTCTCAGCTATTCTGGAGGTTGAGGTGGAAAGATTGCCTGAGTCCAGGAAGTTGAGGCTGCGGTGAGCCATGATTGTGCTACTGCACCTCCAGCCTGGGTGACAGAGTGAGACCCCAACTCAAAAAAAAAAAAAACAAAACCTGGTCATGTCATTCACTTCCTGCCTGAAACTTGTCAGGGACTTCTTGCCCAGAGACTCAAGTCCAGACCCCCCCACAGCTTCCCTGCTTCTAGCGCTCCTGCTATTCTCCCACTTTTTACAATCTCTAGCCAGAATGAATTTAGTGTCCCAAACAACATCTTTGCCAGAATGGATTCAGTCCTCAAGCAATACTTTTGCACAGCCCTGAATTCGGTCCCCTTCCTGTCCCCCCTCAAGACCTGGAAGCTATAACTTCAAGATTGAAGATGTGTTTGAAACATCACTTTCCTCTTTAAGTTAAAAAAATTATGGGGCATGGTGACTCATACCTGTAATCCCAGCACTTTGAGAGGCAGAGATGAGAGGATTGCCTGAGCTCAGGGTTGTGAGACCAGCCTGGGCAACTTGGCGAGACCTCGTCTCTACAATAAATCAAAAATAAGCTGGGCGTGGTGGCACGTGCCTGTAGTTCCAGCTACTCAGAAGGCTGAGTGGAAGGATCGCCGGAGCCCAGCAGGTCGAGGTTGGGGGTGGCCATGAGCGTACCACTGCACTCCAGCCTGGGCAACAGAGACTCCGACTCAAAAACAAAAAGTTAGAAGACAATTTTTTTTTTTTTTTATCGGAGTCTCACTCTGTCGCCCAGACTGGAGTGCAGTGGTCGCTCCTGGCACCGCAGCCTCGACCTGCTGGGCTCTGGCGATCCTCCCGCCTCAGCCTTCTAAGTAGCAGGAACTACAGGCATGCGCCACCACGCCCAGCTTATTTTTGATTTATTGTAGAGGTGAGGTCTCGCCAAGTTGCCCAGGCGGGATTCGAACCCACGGGCTCAGGCAATCCACTCACCTCAGCCTCCCAAAGGGCGGGATTACAGGCTGAGCCACCAAGCCCGGCTAGAAAACAATTTTTAAGTGGATCACACATATATAAGTATATAACATATCTAGTACTAGTTAAAGAATGAAAATAACATTATGTAGGTTAAGAGAATACTTGTTCCTTTGAAGCTCTCCATCTTACCCATCTACCCTCCCCTGTCCAGAGGTCATTGCTGTCTCCAATGCATAGTAATCATTCCCTTGCTGTTCATTACAGTTGGACCGTATATTTCTTTATCCTTGAACGATGTTATGTGGTTTTGCTTGTATCTAAATTTTATATAAATGCAATCATGCTATATGTATTTTTCTGTGTTCTCTGCTCAGTATTGTTCCTTCGGGCTGACAAATGCCTTTGTAGTTGTCATTTTACTGCTGTGTATTCCATCGCATGGAAATTCCACAGTTATCTCTGTTCTGTTGATGATATTCTTGCACATGTCTCGTGGTACACATACAGAAGATATCCCTAGGATATGGGCTTGCTGACTCACAGTATATGCACACCTTCAACTTTCTGGAATGGTCAGATTTTCTCAAGCAGTTGGGCCGGTTTGTAATTCCACTGACAGTGCAAGTGTCTTCTCCATGAAGACACCCTGCTTGGTTCCTCCTAGGATAAGTAGTTCTCATGCTACCTAGAAATACATGTTTGTTAGACAAATGAATCACAGCCACTGGATTAGGATAGTTTTCTATCTAAAAATTCTTCCCTCTTGATTTTCTTTTTTTTTTATCATAGAAGAACCCAGCAAGTCCCTATAACCTTGCCTATAAATATAATTTTGAGTATCCTGTGGTTTTCAATATGGTACTTTGGATAATGATCGCCTTGACCTTGGCTGTGATTGTCACCTCTTACAACATTTGGAACATGGATCCTGGATATGACAGCATCATTTATAGGATGACGAACCAGAAGATTCGAATGGATTGAACTTTCCTGATGCCAAACTTAGAAAAGGAGTTTGGAAATTGGCCGTTTTCTTAAAATCTATCGTTTAGTGTGGTTTAAGTAGATAGTATAAATTTATAAAAAAAAACAATTTTTGTTCTCTATTTTGTGTGTGCCTGTGATGTTTTTTTAGAGTGAATTACCGTATTGATGTGAATCAAATCGTGATATAGATTCCATAATATGCTCAAATATTATTATATAATCATTGATAACATAATTTCATTCCATTTAATAAATTTGGAAATATGCACTGAAAGAGATGTAAAACACTTAGAGTAGCTTGTGTTATTTATGTTGGAAAGATGCACTGAATATCAGCGAAACTTATGAATTACACAGGATAGGTGAAAACCATGTTTGGGCTGTTGTATACTATGAACCATTTGTAAATGTCTTAACTTGATGTAAATATCTCTGAAAGAAGAGAAAAGGTTTTTAACTTAGAGCAGTCCATACAGATGTGCTTATACAATCGCTTAGTTTTAGAACTGTATCTGATTGACAGAGGATAGCTGTTTTGTAACTCTTCTGCAGGTCTGGTGATCCATACGGTCTAGTATGGATACTAAAAATACTACATTGATCTAAGAAGAAACTAGCTTTGTGCAGTAGAGATGCTTGTAATTATACACATAGAAGCAAATCTTTGGGGAACACCTTGAGGCATGAGTATAAAATATGCTTGTTTCAGAACTTAACCCCTGTGTAAGTTACTGTGGTTTGTGGTACAACTTCATTCCCTAGAGTATTAAGTGGCAGTGGATGAATTCTGCTTTTCATATGGAAGTGGACCAATGTCTATTAAGAGTGACAAATAAAGTTAATAGTGATTCTAATTTTGTATCATTTCAATACTGAATCTATTTTATATTATAAAAACCTAACCAACAGACTTTTATTTCATCAGGATTGGCCATTATGTGGCACAGATGGTTTCATGCTGTTTCTTTTACATTTGTTTATTCTTACTGCCTCCTGAGATTCAGTACCGATATAAGGAAGGCATTAGCCATTCTTGTTATTTAAAATATACCATAAATTCACATTTGATTTTTTGTAGGAAAGGTTTATATTTTTTCTTTTCTATTTTTTGTTTTGTTTTGTTTTTGAGTTGGAGTCTCACTCTGTTGCCCAGGTTGGATGGACTGCAGTGGCACGCTCACGGTCACTGTAGTCTTGACCTGCTGGGCTCAGGTGATCATCCTTCCGCCTCAGCCTTCCCAGTAGCTGGAACTACAAGAGTGTGCCACCATGCCTGGCTAATTTTTTCATTTATTGTAGAGACAAGGTCTCACCAAGTTGCCCAGGCTGGTCTCAAACTCCTTGAGCTCAGGCAGTTCTCTCACCTCAGCCTCCCAAAGTGCTGGGATTACAGGCATGAGCCACCATGCCCAGGTGAGTTATATTTTTGTCTAACTTTTTTTTTTTTTTTGAGCCGGAGTCTCACTCTGTCGCCTAGGCTGGAATGCAGTGGCACGGTCATGGCCACTGCTGGACTCAGGCGATCCGTCTTGGCCTCCCAAAGTGCTGCAATTATAGGCGTGAGCTACTGCACCTGGCCAGCTTTTGTTTTGTTTCGTTTTAACATTTTAGAGACCGGTCTCACTATGTTTCCCAGGCTGGTCTCGAACTCCTGGTCTCAAGCTATCCTCTCACCTCAGCCTCCTGAGTAGCTGGGACTACAAGTGTGTGCCATTGCGCCCAGCCCTATAGCGTTATTAAAGATGAGTAAGCGCTAGGCTTGGTGGCTCAGCCTGTAATCCCGCGCCTTGAGAGGCTGAGGTGAGTGGATGGCCTGAGCCCGCGGGTTCGAGACCCGCCTGGGCGACTTGGCGAGCCCTCATCTCGACAATCAATCAAACATCAGCCGGGCGTGGGAGCGCGCGCCTGTAGTTCCAGCTCCTCGGAAGGCTGAGGCGGAAGGATCGCCGGAGCCCGGCGGGTCGAGGCTGCGGGGGCCGGGAGCGGCCACTGCCCTCCAGTCTGGGTGCCAGAGTGAGACTCCGACTCAAAAAAAAAAAAAAAAAAGAGTAAGCAACTAATTGGTTAGACTATGAAGGGCTAGCTAAGGTAAAGGCTTATGGTTATGATTTTTTTTAATGTCTTTAAAAACATTTAGAATTTTTAACTTCATGATTATGTAGCAAAATTATTTTAGTATGAGCATTGTAGCTCTGACCCTGGGAGCCTTCCTTGGGCTTAGTATTAGCTATTTCTGCCTCTTGTTTGCAAAGATCATCAAATCATTTCTAAATCACATTGAATTTGGCAGGCTTGAGAAGATGGAAGTCTATTTGGTTGCGTTTTCCACTTACTGAGAGATGCTCTTGACAATTATAGTGTTAAACCTCCATAGAGTGGAGGCAATTTTTGTTTCTTTTTGCCCCTCATTCTAGTATAAATAGCAGAGAAGCTGATACTCAACTTCAAAGAAAATCCCAGCACTTTAGGAGGCTGAGGCAGGAGGATCACTTGAGGCCAGGAGTTCGAGACCAGCCTAAGCAACATAGAAAGACCTCCATCTCTACAAAAAATTTTTTAAAAATTAGCCATGCATGGTGGCGTGCACCCAATGTCCCAGCTGCTTGGGAGGCTGATGAGGATCACCTGAGCCCAGGAGTTTGCGGCTGCAGTGAGCTATTATCACACCACAGCACTTGAACCTAAGTGACAGACCCTGTCTCAAAACAACAACAACAACAACAAAAAACACCAGGAAAGAAAACCTACATGGTTCTAAAATCCCTCCTCTATTCCTACCCCCCTGCCACGTATGTGGGGGTGAGGACTTTTCAGCTGCTTAGTCCCGAAACAGTTCCCACTCTGACCCTCATGGAACCCAACAGGGCCCAAGTCTAAGGAGCAGAATTCGAGAATGCTGCACAGTGGTTAGAATGCATGTGTCTTTCACAACTTTCTTCTATAAACAGCGCCATAGAAGTTACATTGTTATGATTAAATATGAAATCAACCAATGCCTTTGTAATTTAAAACTGATGAGACTTTTAAGTTCTAGGGGAAGAAAAAAATTAATTACACGACAGCACTAATCCTTATAGGGTAAATGTCATCAGCATCCTTCTATCTATGTTAGGCAGAAAGCAATTAATTAAAATAAATGTTCTGCCAAGATTATTATACCTGTTGCTGATGATTTGCTCTTAAATTAAGTCTAATTTGTTCAGGAACATAAATCACAGTGTCAAGATTTGTGTGAGAGGCAGAAAAGGCAGACTCAACAGCCGACTATTGCACTGACACTGGAAAAAAAACCCAGTCGCTTTATACCTGTTTGGTGGGCTATTCCAAGTTTGTGAAATATCTGAGAGTCTGCAGGTGCATATTGCTTATGGCCTAATTCTTTTTTTTTTTTTTTTTTTGAGTTGGAGTCTCAGTCTGTCGCCCAGACTGGAGTGCAGTGGCCGCTCCCGGCCACCGCAGCCTCGACCTGCTGGGCTCCGGCGATCCTTCCGCCTCAGCCTTCCGAGTAGCCGGAACTACAGGCGCGTGCTACCACGCCCAGCTGATTTTTTGATTTATTGTAGAGATGAGGTCTCGCCAAGTCGCCCAGACGGGTCTCGAACCCGCGGGCTCAGGCAATCCACTCACCTCAGTCTCCCAAAGCATGAGATTACAGGCTGAGCCACGGAGCCCAGCATGGCCTAATTCTATAAGGAATTATATAGAATCGATATTTATTTTCTTTGGCTATTTTTTTTTGAGAGAATGATCATCTGAATCCATGTTCACTGATACCGAGTAATACAAAAGCTATATACTTACTTTTTCTTTTTTTTTAATTTATTGTAGAGACAAGGTCTCACCAAGTTGCCCAGGCTGGTCTCGAACCCCTGGACTCACACAATCCTCTTGCCTCGGACTCCCAAAGTGCTGGGATTACAGGCTTGAGCCACCACACCTGGCCATACTTACTTTTTAGTGGACGGTTAAACCAACAATTTCCAAGGTAGGAACTGGGGTCAATGCCATGCCTATTGAGTTGTGCAGTGACATCAAGCCTTCTAACCTTGGACTTAGTAGTTTCTTTTTAGCCTTTTAACACAGAATGACTGAATATGCAGTGATTTCTTGGGAAAATAAAGAGCTATTGGAGAAGGCCATCAGTAAGAAGTATTGTGCTGGAAATGCAGTAAGACTCACACAGATGAATTCAGTTCACTGGCTCACCACTTACTAACTGGACACTCAGGAAAATTCCTAATCTTTCTGAATCGGAGTGTTTAATCTGTATAATGGGGGTGGCAACACCCCAGGTTTGTAAAAATGAGCATTCAGTGAGAGAACATGCTAGAAGTTTGGTCGATGCTTAATAAATATAAACGAATAACTACTAAATTTAAGGAACTCTCTTTGGACCCAACATGGCACCTTTGCTATGTCCTAGCTAGTTTCTTGCTCAAAAGCAACAGGAACAAACCTTGGTTAACTTTTGTCAATTGTCCTACTAGTTAATGCTCTTTTACTAGACCAGGATCCAATCCAGGAGCGCACATTGTATTGTCATGTTTCCTTAGCTTCTTTTAACCTGGGACAGTTCACTTTTGAAGAGTATTGGCCAGTTATTTTATAGATGTCCCTTAGTTTGGGTTGGTTTGACATTTGCTCATGATGAAATTCAGAGTATGCATTTTTGGAAAGAATACCACGGAAGTGGTGGCATGCCCCTCTCAGTGCAGCCTTGTTGGGAGGCAGGTGATGTCAGTGTCTCATTTTTGGTGATGTTAACTTTGGTTAAAGTGGTATCTGCCAAGTTTCTCCCCTATAAAGTTAGTTTTTCCTTTATAATTAGACATTTTAAGACTATGTTTATATCCCATTTTTAATCATACTTTCACCCATTAATTTTAGCATCCATAGATGAAACAATCATTACCGTGGTGTTTGCCAAATGATTTTATTCCACCATTCCTTCTATATTTACTAATTGGAATTCCACTGTAAAGAAGAGCTTTATCTTCTCCCCCGTTTCTGTATTTCATTATCGTCAGCAGAAACTCATGCATATTTGTTTTACTCTCCGCATTATAATCCATTACCGTCATTTATTTTGTTGTTCAGTCTTCCCAGATTTGGCCATTGGGAAGCCCTTTAAGTTGGCTCTCGTGTCCTTTTGCCATGTCCCATCATTTCTTGAGCACTTTTACTTTCTGCACCACGTGACATTTATTGACTGAAGTTCAAGTTCATCACCAGCAGACCTTCATGTGATGGGGAGAAAGATGGAGGGGGAGGAGGTAAGGAAAGAAGTGGTATTAGTTGAAAGAGATAAGCACGTGCATGACAAATGAGGAAGACATTGGGGTTGGTGTTCTTGCCACTTCAAAAGATAACAAGGTCATGATTCCATGTTATGGCTTCAGTGTTCCCTTCACCTCTAGCTAACACCTCAGCTAGTTTTTCGCCCATCACAGAAGTCCCTCTATCCCTGAAGACAGAAGGAGACTTCTGATAACTTGCCAGTGGACCACTCAAAGTGTGGCGTGTGGACTGATGCCAGTCTGCCGTGTAATAAGTACAAAAATTGAGATCACTGTTGAGAAGTTTGTACAGCAATTTGACGTTCCATGACATCCAAACACACCGATAGACTCACCTCATTGAACAAGGTGCAGACCAGTTTAGGTATTATAAAGCTTGCATAGTGAGTCACACAGAACAACCCGCAACCAAGTCATGGCATCATAGGAGCTACTTTAAGGTTAGTTTGCCAACTGTTATCCAAAAAGTATATAAAATCAAGAATTTAATTGCGCTTTTACATCACAAATTGTTGGAACCGGATGAAGATTTGAAGACATTTTGGGAATAAAACATCACTTGCTTTTATTTTGATGAAAATTTAAAATGAATATCCTGAGCTTGGTGAATGAATTTAAAATATCTCCTTCCATTCCTGTCAATATACCTCTGTGAGACTAGCTTCTCTACTATAAGCATTATTCAGACAAAACACAGAATTACATTTGTTATCCATCATTCCCTGCATGCAGCATCGTCAGCAATCCAGCCCAAACTAGATAGGTCAACAAGCAACCAAGCTTATTTGTCACATAAAGAGCTTTATTGATATACACACTTTTTGTTCAAAGTGTACATGTAGACATTTACTATAGGGAGATTGATTCTTAACTATTTAGTTGTGTTTGTGGAATGACAAAATTATGAGTAGCGTTTATCTCTTAATTGCCTATATATAATTTCAAAGACTGTACAGTTTTTATTTTCTCCTTGCGTTTCTTCTGATTGCGTTATTTAAAATATGACTTTATCTGTAAATATACAACAATTGGGGCTGGGCGCAGTAGCTAACACCTGTAATCCCAGAACTTTGGGAGGCCGAGATGAGAGGATTGCTTGAGACTAGGAGTTCAAGATTAGCCTGGGCAGCCCCGCAAGAGCTCATCTCTACCAAAAATCAAAAAATTAGCCGAGCATGGTGGCATGTGCTTGTAGTCCCAGTTACTTGGAAGGCTGAGGCGGATCACCTGAACCCAGCAGGTCGAGGGTGTGGTGAGCCATGATTGTGCCACTGCACTCCAGCCTGGCTGACAGAGTGAGATCCTGACTCAAACAACAACAATTGGGCCTGTTTTGTTGTTGTTGTTGTTTGGTTTTGAGTCGGAATCTCACTCTGTCACCCAGGTTGGAGTACAGTGGCACAATCACGGCTACCGCAGCCTCGACCTGAGCTGTCTCAGCCTTCCAAGCAGCTGGGACTGCAGGTCTGTGCCACCATGCCCAGCTAATTTTTTGATTTATTGTAGAGCTGAGGTCTCGCCAAGTGGCCCAGATGGGTCTCAAACCCCTTGCAACCCTCTCACCTCCGCCTCCCAAAGTGTTGGGATCATAGGCATGAGCCACCGTGCCTAGCCTGAGCCTATATTTTGACGTAGTTTTAAAAAGTTCATTTTCAGCCGGGCTCGGTGGCTCAGCCTGTAATCCCGCACCTTTGGGAGGCTGAGGTGAGTGGATTGCCTGAACTGCGGGTTCGAGACCCACCTGGGCAGCGAGACCTCATCTCTACAATAAATCAAAAAATCAGCCGGGCGTGGTAGCACATGCCTGTAATTCCGGCTACTTGGAAGGCTGAGGAGGAAGGACCACTGGAGCCCAGCAGGTCGAGGCTGCGGTGGCCGGGAGCGGCCACTGCACTCCAGTCTGGGTGACAAAGTGAGACTCCAACTCAGAAAAAAAAGTTCATTTTCAAAGTGATTCATTTTTATTATAGTTTACAAAAATACTAGGTGGCCATGGACTTGAAATTACAAAGAAAAGACTGTGCCAGTGCCAGTTGATCCCTGCCTGTCCCTCCATCCCCTTGCACCTTGTCTGGCACCAACCCTATTTCTTTTTTGAGGGGAAGAAAAGGATGCAGTTTATCGAATGAGGAATTCTGTCCAAAAACTGCCTAAGAGAAGGAAAAAAATTAAACCAACTTAATGCATAGCTACTTTAAGAAGAAAACAAAATAAGAACCAACTGATGAAAATTCTCCCCATAAAAAACAACCATGAAGTAGAAATACTTCAAAAATCTAAACTGAATTAAATACTCTCAAATGTTTTTTTAATATTTTTTTTAAATCCTAAAATGAGAAATGTAAAAACTAAGAATGGAAATGGACAAAAGCAGGTAAAAAAGCATGAGCTGATTGAGCTCAGGAAATTGTAGTCAAAAACAACCATCTCAGAAATGAATAAATTACAAGCCACCCGTAGAAGAGATTCAAATGAAGGTTTTCTTCTTTTTTTTTTTTTCAGTGTTGGGGGTCTCACTCTGCTGCCCAGGCTGGAGTGCAATGGCATGATCATGGCTCACCATAGTCTCGACCTTCTGGGCTCAAGTGATCCTTCTGTCTCAGCCTGCTGAGTAGCTGGAACTACAGGTGTGTGCCACCATGCCCCACTAATTTTTTTTAATTTTTTGTAGAAACGAGGTCTCACTATGTTGCCCAGGCTGGTTTTAAATGCCTGGGCTCAAGCAATCCCCTGCCTTGGCCTTCCAAATTGCTGGGTTACAGGCATGAGCCACTATGTCCAGCCTCAAATAAAGATTTAATAAAGGACATCGACTAAAGATGGCGGGGGGTGGGGGGGAAACCAAGAAAATGAAAAGCAGGTATAAAGGGTCAGAGAAAAAGTGGTTGAAATGGAAAATATGAAGGAAATCTCCAACATATATATATGTACAAATATTTGAAGTCCTTAAAGAAAAACAACAATGGGAGAGAGTTAATTTTTTAAAACTCTAATCCAAGAAAATTTTGAGAAATAAGAACATAAATCTACATGTTGAAAGGGCCCACTGTGTACTTGGGAAAATGGACCTGAATCTACTCTGAGACATATCATTTTTTTTTTTTTTTTTGAGTTGGAGCCTCACTCCGTCGCCCAGGCTGGAGTGCAATAGTACACTTATGGCCACCGCAGCCATGACTAGCTGGGCTCCGGTGATCCTTCCACCTCAGCCTTCCAAGTAGCTGAAACCACAGGCATATGCCACCATGCCTGGCTGATATTTTTGATTGATTGTAGAGACGAGGTCTCGCCAAGTTGCCTGAGTGGGTCGCAAACCCGTGGGCTCAGGCAATCTGCTCGCCTCGGCCTCCCAAAGTGCTGGGTTACAGGTTGAGCCACCAAGCCTGGCTGAGACATCTCCTAATAAAATTTTGGACCCTAAAGACGAAAAAAAAAATTATCAGAGCTTCCAGGGAAAAGGTCGGATTACTTACATGAATAAGAAAATTAGTCTAGCATCAGACTTCTCAAGAGTAATACACAAAGTGTTGCAAGAGCAGAGCAGCATTTTCAAGAAACCCAAGGAAAGAAAGTGCAAGGTGGCCGGGCATGGTGGCTCATACCTGTAATCCTAGCACTTTGGGAGGCTGAGGTGGGGGGATCGTTTGAGCCCAGGAGTTCCGGACCAGCCTAGGCGACATAGCGAGACCTCCTGTCTAAAAACAAAAAACAAAAAGCAGGGCATGGTGGCACACGCCTGTGGTCTCCTACTTGGGAGGCTGAGGCAGAAGGGTCACCTGAGCCCAGGAGGCTGAGCTATGGTGAACTGTGATCCTGGGTGACAGAGTGAGACCTTGATTCAAAAAGAAATTTTAAGAGGACAGTAAAAGATTATAACCTACTGAATAAAATAGGAATCTATAATACCATATTGGCAATAAAAAGATAACTAAATGGGTAGAGAAGAGAGTCTCCCTCATAGTAGAATGCTGACTGATTGTATATATATATACACAAACACACACACATACACACACACACACACACACACACACGATTCAGTGGAGTTGGAAAACTGTCACTTTCAATCCATCACAGTAAATGTTTGTACCACAGATAGCAGTAACGCAAGTATGCCCTGAAATGACACTATGGTCCAGGATGAATGCTCGGAGTTCTGAGCTAAAGGATCCAAGAGTAGCCAACCCAGAGCTTTACTCCTTTTCTATAAGGAACACGTGAAACCCTGGCCCGGTTCCTGGAAAGCAGGACGCGGCAAGGAACCGAGGCCCGTTGTTAGGGGCTAGGTGGAGGTCACTAGGTGAAGGTTTCGTTTTTCTTTCTTTTTTTTTTTTCTTTTTGAGTTGGGTCTCACTCTATCATCTGGGCCAGAATGCAGTGGCAGGATCCCAGCTCACCACAGCTTCCACCTTCTGGGCTCATGCCATTCTTCCACTTCAGCCTCCTGATTAGCTGGGACCATAGCTGCGTGCCACCATGCCGGGCTAATTTTTCAATTTTTTTGTAGAGATGAGGTCTTGCTATGTTGCCCAGGCTGGTCTTGAACTCCTGGGCTCAAACAATCCTCTCGCCTCAGCCTCCCAAAGTGCTGGGATTACAGGCGTGAGGCACGGTGTACCCCCACATTTCACTTATGTCCTCCAAATCTCTCAGTTGTCTCTGAGCCAGTATTACCAGCAACCATACAGGGAAGAGGACTCTGGGAAATGTGGTTCCAGTTTAACCAGCTGACAGTATAAACCACTATAACCAATTTAAAACTTTATTGCGTTTGTCATTGTCTTTATTGATATGTCGTGTACATACATGGGGAGACCCCAAAAACCCAGAATTGTCTTTTGGAGGGCTAGCCCTTTGTAGTACACTTGGAATTTGTCCTCCGGAACAGTCAACCAAAGTTTTGATCTGGAAGTTTGGAGAAGATTACATCACAATTTGCG